GGAATATGCTTTCTTGAATGGTTACTCTCTTTAGTCTCATAACCTAGGCCCAAAGCTGCTTAATTTAATTGTGCCTCAGCCTGACCATCCACCCAATAGGGATGATATTATAAGACCATTGGGTGGTCTTATGTTAGTGGAAAGTAATTGCTAAACAAATACCAGAAATTTATTATCTCGCAGCTCTGGAGAACAGAAGCAGGAAATCAAGCTGTTTGTAGGGTCACAGCCCCTCCAGAGGCTGGAGGAGGAAATGGATGCCTTGCCTCTCCCAGCTTCTGGTGTCTATAGGTGTTCATTGGCTTGTGGCCACATCGCTCCAATCTCTGTTTCCATCTGCACAGTGCTTTCTTCTCTGTGTATGTCTCTATCTCATCTTCCCTTGCCTCTTTCAAAAAGAAACACAGGATTGCACATAGGGCCCACCTGGATAATCCAGTATAAGCTTTTCCTCTCAAGATCCTTAACCTCCCAGCTTCTGGTGTCTATAGGTGTTCATTGGCTTGTGGCCACATCGCTCCAATCTCTGTTTCCATCTGCACAGTGCTTTCTTCTCTGTGCATGTCTCTATCTCATCTTCCCCTGCCTCTTTCAAAAAGAAACACAGGATTGCACATAGGGCCCACCTGGATAATCCAGTATAAGCTCTTCCTCTCAAGATCCTTAACCTAATCAATATCTTTTGCAATATAATGTGATGTCCATAGGTCCCAGGAATTAAAAAGTGAATAGATATTTTTGGGGGTGAGGTGTAATTTTTTCTGCCTACCACAGGCCCAACCCATCAAGCCTCTTTGATTAAATTTTGGACATTTCTCTCTTAAAGGTGACCACTGCTCCCTAACAAGGAATGTTCATTTGAATTCTAGTCCCACAGCCCATATAAAACTTCATCTAAGACTGGCAAGGTTAAGATGTTGACTTGAGCCATGACCCTCCTTTTCTCCCCTCTATATGTAACATCTAGCCAGTGAGTTATCAAAGAGTGAAAATATTGGCTCTCAATCATACTAAGTTCTAATAAGAATAGAAACCAAGTTTTCAATATTCATTTGTACTCTTTCTTTTTTATTACAAAGGGTCCTCATTGGTATAGGAAAGAGAATAAAAAAGTGCATTTATAAAACACCTCTATCTTGGCCCCCGCTGCCTCTAGCACTTAGAAAATATATACAAAGAAAGCTTTATGTTTTCCTCCTCAGTTGCCAGGACCACAATAAAGCCTTACACATTTAAGTGTACTCTTTTTATGTCTCCACACACTGGAAAGCTTTAATGTCCAAATATTATTTTTCCCTAAGAATGTATAAGAGTACAAATTTATTTTTCTTTTACTATTTTTAAATTGGTCTTAATCACCCAAATCCTTTTTTTCTATAGAATCACAGAGGAATAAACAGAAGGAAAGCAATAATGTCTAAAAACACTGGAAAATTGAATTAACTATAAAATGTATCTTACAACTTTGCAAAAAATGATATTTGGGGAATTATGGTTACTTGATCAAATAGTTTTATAAAGGGAATATCTGGGATTGAGCATTATTTAGAATTTTGCTCAAGAAATTAATGCATCGTGGTATTGGTAATTCAGGCAATGTTTTAAATATTATGTAAGTGTATTCAGAAGTGTGGGTTTGAGATGGAGCATCATCTGCTACACTTTGAGTAGCAAGGCTTTAGAAATTTAGTGGCCCTTGATGCTAACTGTATATTAAAATCTTGTAAGAGTTAAAAACAACAACAAAACAGTGCCTGGACCTCACCCCAAAACAATCAAATCAGAATTTCCTCAGAAAATTCTAAATGTTGAGCCAATATTAAGACTCACAGATTTAATGCTCATTTTTACTGATGAAGATATCTAAGTAAAAATGTGAGGTGGTCTGCTTACCCTCTGTGTATGTGTGTGACCAAGAATGCAAGAAGAAAGGGCTGTAAATAAGTAACAAGAAATTGTAAATAATTTAAAATCAAATGATTGTTAAGAGAAGCCAGGGGGCTGCCAACAACAGAGGAAATGAGGTGACGGCTGCCAAGGGTGAAGATTGTGAAATGATGTGCAGTTTGCTACTTAATGAAAATGTAAATTCCACTTAAATCCATTATCAACTCTGTGTATATCAGAGAGCTGGCTTTGGAAAGATATATCTATGAAACTTCCTACTAAAAGTTTGACGTTTGGGGGAGAACTGGAGAACAAACTCCAGAGGTAAAAGTAAGGGAATCTCCATAAAAAGTAGATTCATCAATGTAACAACATTTGTGTAAAATTTTGTCATTTGTACGTATTCTTATGAGAGTCAGTGAGTTGAAATAGTTATAATCTGTTGGCAATTACTACCAATTTTCTGTTGTCACTTTCTATAGATTTCCTGCCATCAATTCTGCAAATCAAAAGAAAAGGCTGAAAATTATTTTAAACTGATTAAAGGCAGTTTTGTTATAGACAGTCTTTGCCTTGGATTTAGCAAGTCACTTGGCTATTATCTGATTAATACCAAAATAAACTGTCAACGCCAGTGTCTGTTTCTTTTCCCAGGTTCCTCCCCTGGCCCTGGATTCTCCTAAACTCTTATCCAAGGTTTTGATGTGCTAATTTGCTCATCAATACACACTAGCCTTCCTGTGTTTAATTAATAAATATTTAGTTTTGACAAAGGCAAGCGAAACAGAAGCCTAATTCATGAATTCATCATTGTTTATCCCCCCACTGTGACCCTCACTTGAAATTGGTCTTGAGTCTTATCAGTCAGCTCCATTTTATGCCTTCCATTTGCATATCAAATATATCATTGTAAGCAGGCTGCTCACAGCCTTTGCTTGCAGGCAGTTACAGAACCAGTCACCCACTGGAGCTGCAGGGAAACATCTGTAAACCCACTGTGATACCAGGAGAAGAATGGGGGACAGGGGATTAACCTCATCTCCCATTCAGATTCTCTCCTCCAGAAATCAGGATCTTTCATGTGTCCTGTTTTCAAGGTTTAACTGATTGACTGATTGACAATTTTTAATGTGTCTACCCCACGGCCCCGAAATTAAGATGACAACACAGGATTCTCCAACATTTAAACTATGAGTTGCTTGTCACCAAAACCTCATCTAACCACTAAGAATGCTTCAGCAGATTTAAGGGTGACTCAGCTAAAATGCATCATCTTTATCAGAGAATTGGGGTACACTGGAACATTAGTTGGCTTCCATATATCTTCCTTTGAAACAATTTTCTTCCTAAATGAAGAACAGGCCACTGATTCAAATCAAGTCCCATTGTTTCTTGGTACTCAGAAATGTGGACTTAAGAGAATTCTGAGCACTACCATAATTCCATCCTATCACTCAGATTGGGCCTGCCCACGTTTATCGATCCAGCTCTAACTCAGAATTCACCTTTTATGGTTATGTGACACCCTGTGTTTGTAGACAACTCAAATGTAATACTCAAATCTCTGGTAGGGTTAAAAATATTCCAAAAATCTTAGATTGTGTTTCAAAGCTGTTACATTGGTGTGAGCCACTTCTCTAAAGAGCACTTGAATGCAGGATAACCAAGCAAAAGCCAGCCCTAAGGCTGATGTCTGGCTTTTAAGAACTCTACACAGAACCCCAGAAATAAGAAAAACAAGAAAATAATACAATTATGGACTGCATTAATTATGCACTTAAAAGTAACATTGTCTCCTTTTAACAAACTAAAATATTACAACGTAGTGCCACAGTGAGCTCTATTCGGTGTGCTAAATGAATTAGGCGGGGTCACTGGAAAACAACACGGTGGCTCTTTCCCTAGGGCATTATTACCGGGTGTAGCACTAGATTTGGCGACAGAGACCTAAGTCTTATCTCAACTCTACTACCAACTTTCTGCCATTTGAATAACTTCCATCCTGTCTCTGAACATCTATCTCCCACTCCAGAACAGGAGACAGTTGGATTACACTCCCATGTACTCAACTGTGTGGCTAGGAAATGTTACTAAGTTTTCCGTTGAAAAGATTTATGTGGTCACCCTGGCTGGTGTGGCTCAGTTGGTCGGAGCGTCCTCCCGTACACCCAAGAGCCGTGGGTTAGAGTCCCTCCCGGGGCACATCCTATGTGTGTTCAAAACAGTTTGGGTGGTGCCCTTGCCGATTTGGCTCAGAGGATAGAGTGTCGGCCTGTGGACTTAGGCTCCCAGGTTTGATTCCAGTCAAGGGCACATGTCCGAGTTGCGGGCTTGGTCCCCAGTAGCGGGTGTGCGGCAGGCAGCCAATCAATAATTTCCTGTCATCAATGATGTTTCTCTCTCTCTCTTCTTCTCTGAAATTAATAAAAATATATTTTTTAAGAAAAACAGTTTGGGTGGCACTGAACAAGATTTTTCAGAGGGCTTTCCAACTGTCATCGACTGGCCCATGTTCAGACAGACCAGGCTTGCTGATGGCATCACAGAGCACAGTGACTGAAAGTGGAAGCTCAGGAACCAGACAGCCTGGGTTCGAGCCTGTAACTTCTCTACTCCCTAGTTTTGTGACCTCACTTAACTTCTCTGTACTTGGTTCTTCATCTGCAAAACTGAGATAATAGTATCATCTGTTTCACAGGGTCATTAGGAGGACTGAATGAGCTAATAAGATAAGTTAAATGCTGAGCAGATGACCTAACACCTAGTAAGTGCCATTGAAGTGTTAACATTGTCATTGCAATATCATAAACCCTTGTCAAATGCAAGGATCCAAGAGCAACAAGAGTAGATAAAGGAAATTGACATTTGCTGAGCATATACTAGTACAGTATGCCAGATATAATCTCACCAAATCCCCTAATAAAACTAAGATCAAAATATGATTATTTCATTTTTCAGGTGAGTAAAATAAAACTCTCAGGTTTTAAGCAGATATGAAGGTGAAAAAAATGAACCCCCAATTCAGGTATTCCTGATTTCAAAAGTCAAGTTCTTCCTGATACATTACACTGCCTTAAAGGGTGAAAAGTAATAACCTTTCTATCATTTTATAGACGAAGGAATCAGACAGACAGACTGAAATATGTCCCAGGATCACACAGTAAGATTAGAATTAGAAAATAATCCGTGTTCTGTCATTCAACCCTGTAAAATATTCCTCACCGGAACAGAAGGACATTTGAGAAGGGAAAAGGGAACTATCTCTAATTTTGATCTGATTGCAATTTTTTTTTCAGTTAAGATGGCTCTTCATTAAGTACCTGTGTATGCATTCTGTCCCATTTTAGCAGAGATTTTGCTCTCCCCTACCTAACTCAGATTGTGTTTTTAGAGAAGCAGAGCTCTAAAGGGGACATTTGAAGGTCAAATTAATTCCACTGCCTCCAGAAAGAATTGGATTAAAATAATTCTCAAACAATAGTCCCGTACCCTATTCTCCTTTTAAATGTGAAAAGAAGAAAATTCTGTGACTTTGGTAAAAAAAAAAAAATCCAAATATTAATAATATATTTAAAATTTCATAATATGCAAGGATCTTTGAAACATTTGTGAAAATAAAAACACATTAATCAAAAAAGAGAGAGAGAATAAACGGAATAAAAAATGAATTGATTTTCCATGATGGAGCATAGTATTGTGCATTAAGACCTAAATTTCAGGACTATGGACTTGGGAAGTAATTTATTGGATATTAATCTTCGCTTTTAGCAGTCAAGGCCCAACTTTACTTAGATATGTCTGCTGCATGTAGAGTTTTAAAATATGGGGTCAAAAATATATCCCTGCCACATATCCCATACTGCACTTCTGCTTGGTTCAACTATCACTAAAACTGGTTTTTTACAGCAACATCATAGATTATAGAGCTTAGAGAGATTTCCATTTTGCAAGTAAAAACAGGCAGACAGGTGGTGCTCGGCCTGCAGTGTAGATGGAGCAGCCAGCTGCTCAATTCCCATCATCAGAGCCTGTCCTGGGACCACAGGACATCTGATTGAGCAGGCAACTTGCAGGGAGAGGGAGGGGAGCATGGAAGATTTCTCAGCATCTGAAATTCTCCATGTAGGCTCAGTGAAATAAGAGAAGGAATGGTGATAGGTACTCTGATTTGGATGAGAGAAAGCAATCACTTTCCTTGGGGGTTTATGATGATGAGAGACCTAAACAGGGGTTGACATAGGACTTACTTTAACCTATGTAGCAGATAACCAGGTATCTGTCTGCATAACATAACTAGTACCTCCAACAGTTGAAATTTGGAGGAAGGGTACAGATTTAGGAGGGTGCCCTGGCAGGTCCTATTCCATATATTTTTTTTCTTTTTTTCTTTTTTCTTTCAGATGTATATTCATTGGAACGAGTGTGCTGTCCCCTTGAATTGCTCACTGAATACAGTGTCTGCCTCAAAAATGAAAATGTTTTTGGCCAAGTTTGTACTTTGGATGCTATTTCCCCATTCTCAGAAACCCAGTACATGTTGAGGCTTTTTCCTCCAGGATTCAAAGAGATAAATGTTGAATTTGATCCCTGGGGGTATGGCAGAAGCTACCTTACCAGAATGTAAAAAAAAATAAAAATAAATGGAAAATTCCTAAAATCCTAAGATTTTTGTGAGGCAAATGCGAAAGAATTCTTAGGTCGCAATTCCTGCCCTTCAACTACAGGTATAATTAAAGGTAAATGTACAGCAAAGTGGTAGTTGCTGGGAGAACAATTTACTAAGACTTTCTGTAATCTCGTTTACTTTAAAGTCCAGGATCTTCCCAAAAGCTGACCTTCTGCTTGAATTTCTCCCAGTGCTTACTCATACCAGTCTTATCTATGGTGTAAAATGGCTAAATCTGTCACTGGGGAGAAATATTCCCTATTTGTGTGAGCAAGGAGTAACTCATATTTATAAATGGCCAAACAGAAATGACCATTATGAATCTTTCACGACCACTGAAGAGGAAGATGAGTCAAGAGTATTTCCTAGGCTCTATTCTTTAAGAAAATCTAGTGTTTCTTGTTTTGTTTGTTGTCACAGCCATTATGCCCGTAAGACTGCCCACTTCATCTTTTTTTAACTCTGAAGATTCCTAAGCATATATTCTCTACTCTAAGGATACAGTGAATACATTTATGGGGAACACTTCTTGACTCCTTTTATTAAAATGAAATTTAAGAATGCAGAAACCATTCAAAGAGTGGCTATGGTAAAGAAGTCTTATGGGTTAATATGCTCTATTTGTGTATGTAAGGATCAAACTTTTGAAAGACTTAGTTAAATCACGCCATTTCAGAGACCAAAAAAAATCACTGCCCCCAAATGTCTTTCTCTCCAGCTTCCTATGCATTTAATTTATGCAATGGAGAAGTCTCCAGAAAGCCCTTAACATGCAAATATGTTTTTACCCTAGAGAGGTTGCACATTATCGCATTAGCACAGATTAGTTTATCAGATTAGCAGAGGGTGGCCCTGAGGGAAAGAAGCACTGGACAGGTACAGTTAACAGGGCACACTCCTCAGGGAATAGGGACCCGGGAACCAAAGGCCTTCTATCAGGAAGCTATTGGGCCAGAAGTCACCTGGTGTCAGGCTCCCATTTCCAGACATTAGCCCTAGGCACACCATGAATTCTGGGACCCTGAGTCTGTTGTCCAAAGTCCACAAGTCTGTGGTTGAATCCTGGCTCTATGATTCCCTAAATTAATGTTTCTGTGCAATTTCCTCATCTGTAAAGCAGAAATAACCATAGTACCTACTTCATAGGACTATTGAATTAAAGAAATAAATTCACCTATATGAATGGTCTCAATTTTGTAAACACACACACACATCCATAGAAAAAAGGTTGGAAGAATATTCATAACTATCTCTCAGTGGCAGAAATTATGACTAATTCTTTTAATGTTTTTCCCTTATGCATTTTCTAAATTTCTTAGAATAGATATGATTAGTTTGATCATAAGAATGTGTAAAAGACTAATAGATGCTTCATGTAAAATTTGATCATTTGCATTTTCTTTATAATAACAAAAAAATTGGAAACAGCAAACAGAGCCCATTAATAGGGATTAGGTCAATAAAATACAGTTCATCCATATAGTAGAATTATGCACCTACAATTTTAAAAAGTAAGGTTGAAGAATGTTTATTGGCATAAAAAATACTCATGATACAGTATATGAAAAATTAGTAACAATGCTGAATAAAAATTCTTAGTTTATGAAAACTAAATAGTTTTATTTGACCATAAGTAACAAAACATATATACTCCCAAAATGCTAATGCTTGATTATCCCTGCATCACAAGATCGGAAGGCTCTTTAATTTCTTGTGTAGATTTTTATAAATCTTCCAAAACTTTCAGAGTTCTAGTAAAAAAAATGGAGAAGTTGAGATTCAGGCAAGAAATTATATTAGTAGACAAAAAACTGGCTGATCTCCTTGCTCTTTTTCTGCTCAGAGTTGGTATTGTTCAGTTCCAAATTGGATGTGTAAGGAATGAGGAAGTGTGAGAACTTGAAGAAAGAAAACTTGAAGAGATTTTATGATGCTGGACCAGAGATTAGAGTTGAACCATGAGTTCCAGACAAGAACTTCCCTACATCTGTGAGTATGGAAAACCAAAGATAAATTCTGTCTATTTCCAGACTTACCAAGTCAACCAAAAGATCACATTCAAGATCAAAGTATCTAATGGGCTCTTCTTCCCACTCTTAGAATTCCTGTGGCCATTAAAGAGAGAAAACAGAAAAAAAGTAAATATGAGTAAGCTCATTTAATAAGAAAGGGACGTAAGACTGGTCAAAATAAAGATAGTAAGTAACTTGAGTCATGACTGTATCCAGCAGAGCCGGCCCTTGCTTGGATTTTGGTGGCCATGCAGGGTGGGGGCAGGATCAAGCTATCTTCTCTTTGGCAATCTATCCAGCCTCCCCACACAACCTAATGAATGTGAACATATTAAAGTATTCAGAACAGAATGCTAATTTACCAAGAGAGATTAGGATTTTTTAAAATAATACTGAGTTGACAGAAAAATCTTAACACTATGAAGCAGCAAATTGTTAATAATGGCATCCTAAGAATCAAAGAGAGAATGGACTGAAGTTCAGATCACATATCTGTCACTTCAGGTATTCCCTGGGATCAATATCAGTCAATCTTATATCTTAAGACTACCTTTTGATATTAGTGTGTGTGTGTGTTGTGTTGTGTGTGTTACCTATTGTGTGTGTGTGTGTGTGTGTGTTGTGTTGTGTGTGTTACCTAGTCTCCAAAATGCAAGAGGAGGCTAGACTACAGAATGATGAAAGGAAAAACCAGACCTGGGTTGAAGTCTAGACCTCTCCCTGTGCTTCCAGGGTCACTTTAAGCAGGTTGCTAACCACCCTACATCACAGCTACATCATCCAGACAGGAGTTATAAACCTATCTCACAATGCTGTTAGGTGACTCTGGACATTGGATGCAAAGCTCGCCCAACACAAGGTTTGCACAGAATAAGCACCCAATACTTGTGGCAGATGGGGATAAAAAAAGTAAAGTAAAAGTAAAGTCAGTTTTTCTCAGAGTCCTACAACTTATCTGTTTGCCACTTGTTTGGGGGAGTTCCCTTGTTCAATTAGGCATACCACCATCACCTCTCAGAAAATTGTGACCCAAATAGTAGATGTGATTTGGAAATAAAAGTTGCCTTAGGAAGCAAGTACAGGAAATACTTATTTCATCTCTAGTATTTCTGTTGCTTTGAGAAAAGATTTAATTGAGTACTTCCCCCCGCCCCCCAGCTCTTTAAAGTATAGTATATTTAATCCAGGAGCCCAGATAAACATCAATGTTCCCATTAAACGGATGTCCCAAATTCAAATGCTCTTGGCACAGTGTTACAACTTAAAACAGACAGTTATTGCCAACTTGATAGGCCCCAGGTTTGTAACAGCCTCCCTTTAGAGAGAGTAGCATTGATTTCTGTGAGTAGCATTGTTTTCATTCATATTTTCCTATTATGTGTCTTAAATGTCAATATCCCCTTCACCCTGTAAATCCAAACACTCCATCCTGCCACTTTTGTCACCCAGAGAAAAGGCAGAGCATTTCTCAAGGTAACAGAACACCCCAGCTTTGCAAACTTTTTTTCATAGCACTGAGAGAGAGAGGGAGAGAGGGAGAGAGAGAAGTAGAGTTCCTCTGCAGCCCCCTCCTGACATTTCCAGACTTATTAGCCAGTTTTCACACTGACTTCAATCAACCTCTTTAATCCTCCAAGGAAAGAGCATTTTTAATTCACCGATTGGCTGATAAGCTTGAAGCCAAAAAATGATTTACACGTAGATGAATTGTGCTTACAAGATGGAACTCCGAGCATTAGAAGCGGATCTGAATTTCCTATCTGTCATTTTATTTGCCACATTCATTTTTTCTCTGCCATTACCCTTGCTGATTGCGATCTTTCAGCGCTATTGGGCCCCTGCTTCCACAGTTTTTAATCTGCCTTTAATCCCATAGATTTTAAATATTCCCGGCACCGAGAGACTGGAGGCAATTAACTGCCCTTCTGATGCTCTCCTTATCAGTTTCCTCCTTGTATCTCCCAGAAGCAGCCTCAAGACACTTCCAGGCTGACAAATACTCCCAGCATTTCAGAAGAAGCATCCCCTGCAAACGGGGATGTGAAGTCCAGCTGTGCACGCTGGCGCTAAGCAATCAAGTCGGGTTTTGGAGGAGGGAATGGGGAGGAGGGGAAGGGGCAGGCACTGGATACTCAAAGCCCCCAGCGCCCCTGCTCTAAAACAATGTCCTCATAATGTGTTTTGGGGGCTTCAAAAATATGTGAATCATCTCATCGGTTTAATCTGATTGCTGCGTGTAACTAGGAAACCATTTGCAGCTCTCTGACTTTAATGAGGGATTCAGAAGGGCTGTGAAAAGGACCTGGCAGGTAGAATAGCTACCTGACTCGGGCTCCCATCTCCTCTCTGGGTCTTGTATAATTTTGTTCCCATCTTTAATGTTGCCTTTCAAATCTGTCCACCGGATTTCCTGACCACTAGTTGGTAAATTTCCAACACATTTAACTGATGTCTATTCAGACCTGAACTCATTCAGATTTTCTAACTTTGGACATCACCCTGGTACATCAAAGGCTCACGAGCTCTGAGTACACCTGAGGGACCTAATCAGGGTGACACGACTCAGCCACCAGGAAGGAAAAGAGAATCTTATTCATTCATTAAAACCCATGTGCTTGCCCACGGCGTTGAATACACTCTAAAAATCACTAAGTCTCTAGTCACAGCCCACCCAGCGCCCTCATAGGAGTCCAGAAGTTCTAGCCTTTGGCCTCTTGAGGATAAATCAACTTGACCTTATCCTATCCTCTAGCATTGATTCCTGACAAAAAGTTTTAGCCTTTTGGTTTGTTATAGTGTAGTGTTCAAATGAAACACCTCTGAATTCAAGGCCATAACCCCAAAGACAGAGAGAAAGGTACTCCTCCATCCTATGTGACACTTCCGTGTCCCAGAACACTGAGCGGTTCTCTTCCTCAGACACCCAGTCTCCTACGCAGACAGAACATTTGACAGCAATGTGGCTGACCAAGCTATTTGGGCTTCGGAAAGAAAGATGTGTGTGTTGTTTTGCATATGGGCAGAAACACATACAAAATTCTTGTAAATCCTTAAAGTTCCGTCAGATTGCCATTCGTTCACAGAAAGTCGGCGGTCTTTATTGGTCAATCCTCCCACTAAGCATTCAATTGCATTG